CATCCCAGTCCGCAAAGCCGCCCAACGCTACGTCGCAGCGCACCGTTCATCCCTCCACCGCCTCACCCGCCGCTTTGCCCTATCTCCTGCCACCGTAGAAACCCTAACCCCCAGCTCGACGCCCACCATCTGCCAAAAACCCCTGGACCACGCATATCGCCGTCAACAAGGACACAGCCATTTCAGAACATGAAACACTAATGGACCAAATACAGATATACAGCGATGGATCGGGCTATAAGGGTAAAATCGGGGCAGCTGCAGTCCTATTCCGCGCAGGACAGCAGCCCAGAACACTGCGATATCACCTCGGGACGGATGAAGAGCATACGGTATTTGAAGCAGAAGAAGTCGGCCTGATTCTAGCCGCACGTTTGATGGCACGGAACGCGACCTGGTCCTTCCCCCTTTCTATCTCGGTGGACAAACCAAGCTTCAATTCGAGCAGGTGAGACATTCCATTCACGTCCTGGTTCCTATCTGGCGGATTGTTTTCGTAGGATGATGAGCAAAATCGCCAAAGATAATGTAGACTTCAAGGTAACCATGCGCTGGGTCCCAGGGACACTCAGGGATCCATGGCAATGAGGAGGTCGATAAGCACGCCAAACTGGCAGCAGTGAGCCATCATAACAACAGCCCCGTCAACCGCCTACCCCGCCTCCTTCGACACCAAGCCCTCCCACTAAGCATTTCGGCCCTAAGAGAAACGCAAAGCAAGGACACTACCCAGAGATGGGGACAGCTCTGGCGCAAATCCCCGCGTTTCTACCGCTTCAATCAACTCGACCCCAGCATCCTCAAACGTTCATTCACCAAATTAACTGCCAATTTCCCAAAAACGCCTCATCAGCCTCTATATATTCCTTCGAACTGGCCACGCACCACTTAACAAGCACCTTCACCGTATCCGCAAAGCTGACAGCCCATCTTGCCCCCACTGCCCCCGGCATAGATGAGACGGTACACCACTACCTGCTAGACTGCCCACACTTCCAACGTGACCGTCACATACTTGTCAGCGCCCTAGGGCGAAGAGCCACTTCCATTCAATTCCTTTTGACAGACCCCGACGCCACCCCTCACCTCGTTAGATATGTCAATGGCACTTGTAGATTCAAGACCGTCCTTGGTGAAATTCCGCTTCCTCTCACTCCGGCAGACTGATCAGTTTTGAACAGGTTTGAAAGCACGCAAGCTTGTACACGCACCTTGGTACCATCAAACATTTCATATCATCTTGTATCACCACCACTCACTCGCACACACGGAGTCACTAGCTTCATCACTGGTATCAGTCAGACGGGAACGGGTCCTCCCATCAGCCAACAAAATGGGACCACCCACCAATTAATCCTACTGCAACCTTTCGACTCCTGTACCTGCCCGCTTCTGCGGCCGAGTACGCGTCTTTGTCTTCATACCGATAATCCATACCTACCACAAGCGTACATATAAGTCGTCTCATCTTCGATGGGTTGCGCGTCCTAAACGGCCGGCGGGAACGGCGGACTGATGGGGCACGTCCCACATCAGGGCATTCGCGAACTCAGAGATGCGCAGGGGGCACTGGGGGCCCCCCTAGACTAGATAGTATTGTCCTCCATAGAGTATTACTCTCCATAGGACATGAAAATTGAATCAAAAAAAAAACAAAAAAAAAACAACGGACGCACTGCGCCGTCGAACAAGTAAGGGTGACATGTCACTTTACGCAACTGCATGTTCATGTTCATGAGGCGGGTCTTGCTCTCCTTTTTTCCAGTCAAGCCTTAAAGTAGGTGACAAAGTCGAGGAGTACTAGTAGCGTACCGTTAACAACACTATGTCTTTCTTAAGCACTGAACAGTACCACTTCCGCTGCATCTCCGTCAGGTCAATATAAATGTTAATTTCTTTCTCTGCGGCAACGCCAGCGCAGGCACATGTCTGTATCGGTTGAACATACTAGGCAGAAGATTCTTCTCCACGTCGGACTTGACATGCCGTACTAAGAAGAATATTTCAGGGCAAATGAAGTTCAGAAGCACAAGCAGTTCCTTGAGGTTGTTCTGCAGCGGCATTCCCATGACAAGCAGATGGTCCACGGGACATGAACGAGCGGGCAATCTGAGCGAGGATGGAATCGACATTTTTAATGCGGTGCGTTTCGTCGATCACGGTATATTCGAAAGAGAATTTCTTGAGTGCCGACTTTTCGATGAGAGATTTCATACGAGACATCGAAATCCTGAGGGATGAGCTGATCAGAATGACAACGTTCGCATCCGATGTCCATCGTTCGAACTTGCGAGCCCGGTTCGGAAGGATAGATATAGGGACAACAATCAAATGGGGACCACAGGCATCGCGGGAATGTTTCAAGTATGACCTGTATGGTCCAGTGAGTATTAGAGTGAAATATTAGGAGGACATCACTCGAGGTTTTAGTGGGTATTAAGCCTCCCCGGCCCCCGCTGACCGAGGCAACCTAGGAAGTTCACGGAGTGCTACACACCCCTACCACAGGTAGGGAGTGCGTAAGACCATTTCCCCTCAGACCGGTACCCCGTTTAGCCTCTGGGTACCGCTATAAGCGTTTATATAGAACTAGACAGTGTCCGAGTCAGTGGCTATAAAATAGGCTCGCTTTGTCCAAAAAAAAAAAGAGAACTGTTCGTGATTTTGGCAACATACTATGATGCGGCAGTGCGATCTTTGGAGTGTTTTTGGCATTGCTGGGTTTGGCCCAACAATAATACTATCATAGAAGATCATAGCCTGAGATCTAACACAGAAAGCAGACGATGTATAATTAGTGAACCAGTGGATCCACTTACTCATGTGCCTGCAGGATTCAAATTCCGAACCCGAGTCCGTCTGGTAGTTAATGTTCGCGTCCTCGCCGATGACGAGTATGTGTTCTTCACATTGTGCCACGCAAGCTTCGTAATTTGGACGTTCTACTTCAGGACCTCAGGCTGGAAGTTCCGCCGCTCTGGTTAGCGGTAGAGGTCACGTATGTGTGATCATTCTGCGGGCATTCGGATTACGGTGCCACTCAGATTCGCATCCGGAACGTGGCCGCATTGACCAATGACAACTGTCTTCCTTCTGACGAGGTCTGGCAGACTAGATACCCCGCGATTGTCGTTCTTCTGTCAAATGATAGCTTACGCCTCCTTGCGTCCACCTGGGCGAAATTGCTGTGGTTTACAGGAAATAACATCATTGCGTCCATTTTTCATCCGAGTCATTCCTTCAGATAGCTGCAAGACCATCCCGATTTACAGAAGAATGAACATTGAAAACTGCTCAGATCCACCGATTGGTACGATAGCTACGGAAAGTGACTCTGATCTCCAAGGTTGGCAACTCGATTTCAACTTCTCAGTGGCACTCATTGTGGCCCACAATGGTCGCATGATTCATAATTTTAGGAATGACGATTGCCTTTGTAGCCATAGGTATATAACTAAACTTACAACTCGAAGGCCCTTGGCCCTTCGTTGGAATGCTGTCTACCAGGAAAGCAGCAGCTGTTTGGCTTTTCCTTGCATTTGAACTGGTCCTGACTGCACAAACACCTCTGTCGAGTCATGCGCCTTCACCCTTTTACACGGGGGTCGAAAATGATCTTGGACAATGGGATCTTGGAGAAGTACCTGCGGTGAACGCGACAGGACATCTGGTGTTCGAAACAGCCAACTCCCTGCTTCAACACTGGCCAAACACGCGTTATCGTATCGGTATGTCTAAAAATCCTGAACATCGCGCAGATTTCACAATATGTCCTGTAGGTCATACAATAGTCCCAGGGACTATTCCCGTAGGCACTCTCCTCTACCATGGAGCCCTCACCGGTCCCCATTTACCGACCGCTCTGGAATGGGTGTCTGTAGAGCCAGACCACTCCATAATTTTCTGCCACGGGCCAATCGAAACAGGGTGCTGGCACCTCACCCTTAAAGTCACTCGGCCGATGAAAGTGCTCTATTTTGACGGAAGCAGCGCTGTGAACATCCCTGGGGGCACGATGGACACCCAAGATCTCGTGGCGTGGTCGAAGATGAAACCCGAGTGGGTGGGCAATGAAGAGCAGCGTATTATGGATTTGTGTAAATGGGGTCAGAAATATGGGGTGAATGGCTTTGTGAGGTTCGTTGGATTTTGAGACGGATCGATGTCCGATGCTAATTTATGAGTTATAGGATGGAGATGAATTTGTGCGAACCCATACGTAGTTCCTTGGTGACTTGTTACTGACGACGGTCATAGTGAGGTTATGATCTGCGACTTCACTTCTCACATGGAGGTCGTTTCGTTCTTAAATCTCGAGAGCATTCGCTTCAGTCACGGCTCGCCTACGAATCTGCCAGAGGACCTCAATACTGGTGAGCGACCATGTCCATGTTTTGGATAGGTCTGATTTATTCTTGGACATCAGTGCATCATATGTTTGAAATAATGCATTCTGCTTCACGGCGCGAAATGTATCCAGGAGAAACTCGGATTATGCTTGATTTTTCTGGGCTAGTCTCTTTCTACGACACAGCTCTTGTTCCCTCCTTGGTGCCGTGCCGTGTAGGCTTGGAGCGATGGGATCATCGAGTGGGAGGAATATCATCGGAGGATATAGAACGTGTCCAAGACAGGTTAGCTCAAGCATTGACACGACCACCCGTGACAACCAGTGGCATTGACTGGAAGACTGTCTTGCGGGTGGTGGTTGATCGATATTCCAGCCGCCTGGAGATGGTGCAGTACCTTGCGAACATGACGCTGGACGATAGGTCGATGTTTGGCCACGCACAACAAGTCCAGAGACGACTGCGCACCGTGCTTTTGCCCTACACTGTGTTTGCAGCTCTACCTCCTAATACCTCTGTGACTGCCAACGCGACAAATTCATGGGCTGCACCAGTTTTTCGGGAATGTGCTACATCGCACACGGCCTCCATTGTAGCTCATGGAACGACATTGATGCCCTCTGAACGTTTGCTCCTGCAGGCGGCACGGGAAACCACGCGTGAAATATGCCGTGTCGTCACGAAGATGTGGGCTTCTGGGATGATGACTGGAGTCGACCCCTTGTATCCTCCGGAACAACGCCCAGAAGCTGATCGCATACGGACTCTCATGGGCGAATGGAAGGAGGATGTGACACAGTTGATGTCCTGGTTAGACTGGAGCGCGTGGGTGAAATGCCGACCTGCCTGTGGTTTCGAGGTGACAATGTCAAGTTACTTTTCTGTGAAATGACTGACCTCGTCATGTACTATAGGAGATGTGCTACTTGCCTACTTGGCCCATTGGGTTTTTCCCGACTCCCGGCGATGAGCCACCATTTCAAGCCCAGAGGGACGGTGCTTCCTTATGGCCAGACCCAAACAAAGGTGAATGGAGGAGACCACAGCCCAAGTGTATCAGACGGCTGGAGCCATATGGTTTTTAGGATACTTACCTAGTCTTTGTCAAATCATTGCAGTAGAGTTTACTTTAAGCGCCAGTGGCGTATGTACAAAGTTATAACACTCTTATAAATTTATAGATTTAACTTGATAAATGCCGAGCTTCGCCGGCAGCAACCTTGTACTACTAGAATGGGACCGAATTTCATCAGCAGGAACCTTGTTTACCATTTTAACAGGCTTTGTTCTGGCAAGGATTTTGTACAATATTACATAGTAAAATACAGCTATATCCAGAGGTATGATGTTGCGACCCTTCGGTCGGCTCCTAGACAACAATTGACCGTGAGCAAAGGGATACGTTCGAAGGTCGAGCACGGTTCGTGCTAACGTCCAACCTTGGTAACCATTAAATATAGTTGCATACGTGGGTCGCAAAGGAAACTGTCTTCGATTTACAGTCCACGATGAACAGTTGGATGGAAGGCAAAGATGCAGTGGCTTTCGAAAGTATTGATGAGTTGAACTTCAACGAACTAGCGAGGTAGAGCAACTACGCGCACGCGCGCGTTCCTGACCAATCCTTTTTCTACGGGGAGGCTTCATTGAATGGCACAAATGCAATTCTGTTTGAGATCCAGGCGATGAGGAGGTACTTCAGGATGAGTCAACATTGCAAGATAGTCGGGCCTAAGTCGGGTATGTGTTCTGGGCTTCTTTCAGGCTGTCTGAACCTAAGCAAGATTCTAGGTTGTCTTGCAAGTGGAGTGTGTACTTGATGTCTGTTCGTGATACTTCGAAAATCGCCCGGTAATTTGTCCAGAATTTTGTCCTTGAATTCACCGACGTTTCAGCGTCTTCGAGAACATGTGGTGGGAAGAGGAAGTAAATGGTATCGTCGAAGTTTGTAGTCGCTGCTATGAGTGCGAGATTCCGTCGATTTCCGAAGCAGTCTTCTCCAATGCGATCCACGAATGCCGTGAATTGCAGGTCACCCATGCTGCGAATTATGGTGTTGAGACTCAAAATTTGCATGTCTGGCCATAGCGCCAATGATTTCACTGCTGCCAAAGTTGTCGTCTCACCTGCTCCGCTGAAAATAGGACCTGTTGCCGAAAATCTCCTTCTACGAATGGTATTCCGATAGATTCTGTCTTCAGCAGAAGGAGTGTTGACACCAGCTTCCGCTCACTCCAGCATATGCTATCACGACGCCGCCAAGTGGTGGATTTCCGTTTAATGTATACGTCGCACCCTCTGGAGGACATGGTGGAGAGGATATACGTCTTCTACGTGATTTTGACGAGAAGTTGCTAGTAACGGCTCACCAAAGTGCATATCTTTGTTTGAAGACCAACGGATTGTGAAGTTTGACCAGATAACGGAGCAGTGGTGGTGGTGGGATTCAAGGAAGTAGGGAACCATAATATATTGATTGCAGATTGATTCCAGAGTTGCACAACAAACATATGCACTTCAAGTTGTTACCTTGTAAGTTGTATGTGTAGCACGTGAATTCCCACGGGGTTGAAAGGTGAGAACGTACAGCCACAATCAATTATGGGATGATAGTGACCTTGTGCACAAGATTGGTACAAGATAACTATAACTTTGTGGATGACGCCGAATTCGACAGAAGATGTAGCACCAAGTATATGACTAAGCTTACAACTCAAAGGCCCTCAGGCTGTAAGTCGGAATGCTGTCGACCAGGAAAGCTGCAGCAGTTTGGCTTTTCTTTGCATTCGAACGGGTCCTGACCGCACAAACACCTCTGTCGAGTCATGCGCCTTTATCATTTACACGGGGATCGAAAATGATCTTCGACAATGGGATCTCGGTGAAGCGCCTGCGGTGAATGCGACAGGACATTTGGTGTTCGAAACGGCCCAATTCCCCTGCTTTCAAACACTCTGGCCCAACACGCGTTATCGTATTGGTATGTCTGAAAACACTAAACATCGCGCAGAATGTCACATCTCATCGTTTACGTCATGCAGGTCATACAATAGTCCCCAGGGACTATTCCCGTAGGCACTCTCCTCTACCATGGAGCCCTCACCGGTCCCCATTTACCGACCGCTCTGGAATGGGTGTCTGTAGAGCCCAGACCATTCCATAGGTTTTCTGCCATGGTCAATCGAAACAGGGTGCTGGCACCCTCACCCTTAAAGTCGCTCGGCCGATTGAAAGTGCTCTATTTTGACGGAAGCAGCGCTGTGAACATCCCTGAGGGGACGATGGACACAACAAGATCTCGTGGCGTGGTCGAAGATGAAACCCGAGTGGGTGGATAATGAAGAGCAGCGCATTGTGGATCTGTGTAAATGGGCCAGAAATATGGGGTGAATGGCTTTGTGAGGTTCATTAGTTTTGAGATGGATCAATGCCCGATGCTGATTTATGACTTATAGGATGGATGGCAATTTGTACGATCCATACGTAGTTGATTGGTGATTTGTTGCTAACGACGGTCATAGTGAAGTCATGATCTGTGACTTCACCTCTCACATGGAGGTCGTCTCGTTCTTAAATCTCGAGAGCATCGTTTCGGTTACGGCTCGCCTACGGATCTGCCCGAGGACCTCATAATGGTGAGCGACCATGGTCCATGTTTTGGATAGGTCTGATTTATTCTCGGACATTAGTGCATCATGTGTTTTGAAATAATGCATTCTGCTTCATGGCGCGAAATGTATCCAGGAGAAACCGCGGATTGTGCTTGATTTTTCTGGGCTAGTCTCTTTCTACGACACCGCTCTTGTTCCCTCCTTGGTGCCGCGCCGTGTAGGCTTGGAGCGATGGGATCACCGAGTGGAGGAATATCATCGGAGGATATAGAACGTGTCCAAGA